CTGCCCAGTCTATTGTTGTAGGCATGGACGAGCCTGATCTTGATGCTGGCGTCAATGGGTACTTTGGCTGGTAAGCGACTTTTTCCTGACGTGCGAATCCACGACTTACATGGTGATAGGGACAACGAGAGGCCTGTAAGACAGGCAGATGTGCATGCATTCCAGGCGCAAGGACGACCGATCACAAATGAAGAGGTGAGTGACTAGATAGTCTGCGAGACAGGTACAAGGCTGACTTGAAAAGTATGCGCAATACATGTTTGAGAACCACATTAAGAAGGTCCCCGCATCATGGGCCGATGTTCAAGTTGCAGAGTCCGATTCTGACACGGCCGTGGACGCGAATGGACAAACGTATCTTACCAATGGAAATACGAATGGGCATTCCAACGGGGTCAATGGGCATGCCAACGGTCACGTCAATGGTCACACAAACGGTCATGTCAATGGCACTACAAATGGACATGTGAATGGACACCAGAACGGGGATAGTATTGTCCCCGATTCATTCCTTGACGGCATTGCAGTCCGCACAGTTTATGGCTTGGTCCCGCTGAAATATGCTCTGGACTGGCCCATCTTTGCATCTTTTGATGAACTCTCTGGATGTGCAGCATGGATGGGAGGCCGAATCCCGACGTTTGAGGAGGCTCGAAGCATCTACACTTACGTTCATAACTCAAAGAAGATGGAAGCTGAGCGTACGCTGGGCAGGACGGTGCCAGCAGTCAACGGGTAAGTTAATATTTAGCTACGTACGATGGTCTCATCGGCTAACGTCCCTAGCCACCTGTCGAATGAGGGTGTCGAGGAAACACCACCAAAGAGGAAGTCACTTGAGGCCGCGGAGGCTCGATCGGAGCTTTTTGCGGACCTCGATGGTGCCAATGTCGGCTTGCAGCATTGGCACCCGGTCCCCGTGACGGCCGACGGCGGTCGCCTCGCGGGACAAGGTGGGCTCGGCGGCGTCTGGGAATGGACCAGCACGCCCCTTGCTCGCCATGAAGGGTTCGAGCCTATGCCTCTATACCCTCAGTACACGGGTAAGACACTTGCATTTCCCGAGGTCGAAAATCTTGCTGACGATGAGCTGTAGCCGACTTCTTCGATGGTAAGCACAACATCGTGCTTGGAGGATCGTGGTCAACGCATCCCCGCATCGCCGGCCGAAGATCATTGTAAGTCGACTACTATGTAAGCGATAACGTGTGCCATATGCTGATAATTCGTAGCGTCAACTGGTATCAACGAAACTACCCCTTTGCCTGGTGCGGCGCAAGACTCGTCAGGGATATCAACTAAGCAGTTGCTTTCTTCTCACTTTGCTGGCTTTCATCGACTAATGTAGTATTGCCTCTCTTAATCACATCCCTTCTGGCGAAGGCTCTCAGTCCAACACTGCTCTCGCCACGAGAACGACTCAACTTCGTTCGCACCATTCCCTTGGCATTTGCTTAAAAAGCTTGAGTACTTTTTGTCTTGTCTCGTTTTGCTAGGAGCATTATTGGGGGAAACGAAAAAATGAATTAAGGGGCATCCACACGGGTTTTCATATCTAGGTGTATTGTGTTTCCTACTTTGGGTTCCTTATGGGGGGAGCTTGGCTATCGTCTTTTCGATTTGAGGTTGGGCATCAAGAAACGTTTTCACTGTAATATTACTTTCCGCCAAACCAGGCGACTTCCGCCGACTTGAGCGGGATATCATCAATCAAGATTCACATTCGCTAAAACTTAACAGAGTCTATGTTGGCTCACCACGACGATGGTGCCTGCCACTATTGAGTACTAACGATCCTGGATTCTCCCCTCCCGCCTAGAATTACCACCTCCTCGGTTCCCGGACTCTGACCTATCTCACAAGTCACGTACCTTTTTCGGGAACAAGAACGAGGTGCCGGACATCCATCCATCAGTCCATCCCCGCCTTTTCCAAGTTAACCCCGGACCATCAAAAAGTTCCTGCAAACCCCTTGGTCGGGCGTACTGCGTATGCAGGTCATCCTGCGCGCGTGGACAGTTCCCACTTTGGAGTTGTGACGTCAACAGGCCGTGGGGGTCGTCGGTCCCCTCCCCTCGGTTCTTCCTTCTTGGACCTTCCCCGTCTTTTGTTGTCCTATGGGGTCGTAGGTATCACGAACAAATTACAAGTGCAGGGCGAAGACATCGCGGGCTGTGAGGGAGGGATTGTCCGCCCCGTCGTGAGGTCGTTTGTGTGCACTGTGATTACGAGGTGGTCCGCCTCGCAGGACTCTTGGTTGCATATTCTCGTATACGTGACAGGAACAAGCCATGCGACGGAGGGTTCAGTCTACACTGCACATATGCGTTGTGGACGCAGTTAGGAAGCCGCGATGGGAAATTGAACTCTTTCTTTTCTTCCTCACTCTACGTCGAGTTCTAAAACGGGCAATTCTTGCCGACAAGTCTCTCCCGTCCCGTCGTCAGCAGGACGGTTTCCCCCGACAAGGCGCCTGCATCTATTCAAGTGATAGAAAACGTTATACGTGCCCGATACACGGTCACACTACCTGCCGCTGCCAAAAAAAGCATTCTGACTAAGCGGCCATGATCGGCCAATTCCCTTACTTTGCGCCTGGCCATCAAATTCCGGCATTGAGACGCCGCTCTATATCGCCGGCGGGACTCCAGGTCTTTGTCTCCACAATACGGCCCCCGGCACGTCCGCGGCCGGCCCCGAGTGGGCATCAACGCCCTACGTTTTTTTCATGCGCGATCGGGAGTCTCCGAAATTTTGAAACTCAAAAAAGTCCTAGGCGGGTATATTTTCTTGGGTTCGTGATGAGAATCAACCGTTCAAGCTACCGTAGATGTCGAGGAGCTGCTCAAACACGTAGCTGGGTAGCTTGACGCCGTTTTCTGTCACGAGGTTGGAGATGAAATCAGGGGGCTGGTGGTAATTTTGTCAGCGATTATGATCAAGACTGGAGTCGGGTGGGAAAGCTTACAGTGTAGTCCACGGCATCCTCGGGCTGCTCGCTGGCACCGTCCGTCCGGAAGTCCAAGACGTGCTGCTGGAAACCGAGATCTCGCTGGTCCAGAGGCACCTTGCGCACAAACTTGTGGGACTCGGCCGCGACGTAGAAGGGCAGACCGGCTTGCTTCGCCAGCTTGGCGATCTGGTAGGTGCCCATCCGGGAGATGATGCCGCCATTCTGCGTGACGGCCTCGGCGCCGACAAACACCATGTGGACCTGGCGCAGCAGGCCGAGGACATGGGCGACGGCGGGCTCGGCGATCTCGGCGACGGGAATACCCTTGTCGCGGAGCTCCTTGACGACGCGGTCCGACTCGGCGGGGCGGTGCTCGTCGCGGACGTAGACGACCTTGAAGCGGACGCCGCCATCGCCGGACTGGTCTGCGGCGCGGAAGAGCAGGTCGGAGACGGCGCGGGAGGCGCCGTGGGTGAGAACGACCTTGCCGTCGCGGACGAAGCGCCAGCCGGCGTCGGCGATGCGGTCACGGGCGGCGATGGCGCGAGAGGCGAAGAGGCGGCCGTTGCGGAGGAGGTGGGTGCGGACGGCCTCGAAGGACTGGTAGGGGGAGGGGGCGGCGGCGGCCGAGGCGGATGCGTTTGCGCCTTCTTGCTGCTTGAGCGAGGAGACGAGGTACTGGAGGAAGAGGTCGGTGCCGGCCTGGAGCGGGACGGGGTTGTTTACGGATGCGTGGAGAGTTGTTGAGGCGCGCTTGACGAGGTCGAGGGTCTCGAAGACGGTGGTTGTGCCCGAGGCGTTGAGGAGTGCGATGAGGGCCTCGATGGCGGCGACGGGTTTTGTCAGGTCTGGGTCCTCGAGGAGGGAGTGGTATGTAGAGACGATGCTGGAGGGGAGGGAGATGTTAGCTTTGGATTAGACGTTCAGAGTGGGTGGTGTTGTACTCGATGGCATCACTTGTCTTGACACGGATGGGGATGTCGGAGGAAGCCTGGGGCTTTTGGCTGTCGCCAGCTGCTGTAAAGGCACGTTGTCAATATTGGTTCCTTTGAGGTGGCGCATGCGAATGCAAGTAGATTGCCACACAGAGAGAAAGGGGATAGCGCACGTGTCAGGTCGCCGGTGGCCATGGTGATGTATGAGAAGCAGGATTCGATTCGGAAGATGGGCAAGGCCCTGCGCAGCATGCAACTCGTGCGCTGATTTTGGTGTCGTCAGTGGTATTGACAGGGCTCGTCGAGAAGATTATCGGATATCGGTAGTGTGGTCAGAGGGGAATCGGCGCGAAGTTGGTGGTGGGATGTCGAGATGAGAGTCGCGATGGCGGGGTTTGGTGTTGAAGCTCTAGGAAATTTTGGGCAAAAGCCAGTGAGTGACTCAATTCCCACGAGCCACAAGTGACCGAATGGAGCTTGCCGTTGCGCCCAGGCCCCAGGCGATTGACGGCTCTGATTTGGCGGGGTAATTAGGAGGGGCACTCCTTAGATTGATCACCGGAACCTCCGATATGGGTCTACTTGGTATCACACGTCATTTTCGTGTAGTATGGAGGTATCCACCTATCTACTCCGTAGCCTTCCAGGTTGCCCTCCGATGCCGTACGCAAGGTGCACACCTCCGTCTAGGCCCCCCGTCGGTCAAGGGTCCTTACAACACCACAGAAATAGCGGTCTCATCGCCCTGTATCGTCACCGTCACCCTGAAAGCATCCCACTACCGACAGCGGGGTCCCCTCCACTCCCGAAACACCACCCAATGCCCAGCTAATCAAGCTCCCGTCCTTGTAAGCCTTCATCTCCCCCCTCCCCTGAATACAAGCAAGCAATTCAACCCCGTTCTTTCTCCCCTCTGCTTCTTTTTCTCCATCATGAAGCTTCTTTTACCTCTACACGACCGAGACACCCGTAGAAGCTCCCAAGCACATCCTCTTACCCCTCCTTGACAGTAGTTGAAGCTATATTCCTCTCCATCAACATAACCTCCACCACCAATACCACATCTACAACTCCATCACAGTTGTTCAGCACACAAAGAACACACACACACAATGGAGCAACTCGATCCCACAACGGGCAACCCCCTCCCCGCCGACGCAATCCAGCGCATCCTGTTCATCGCCTCCGGCGCCCACGTCTACAACATCCCCCCCTTGACCTCGAACAAGGGCTACACCGCCGCCGGCTGGACCGACCGCCAAATCTTCACCGCACGCCTCCGCGTCCTCGAAACAGCCTGGGAAACCACCGCCGCCGCCCGCCCTACCCCCGTAGGCGTAGGCTCCGCCGTCGTCCCCGTGGCCCCCGGCGCCCCCGCGGGCATCACCTCGAAAGAGAACCACATCAAGGTCGACATCGTCCTCGAGGACCCCTCCAACGGCCAGCTCTTCGCCGCCGCGCCCTACACCTCCATTAACGCCGTCGAGCCCGTGCTCGACTCGTCGCGCTTCTTCGCGGTCCGCGTCATGGACGGGCAGGGCCGGAAGGCGGTGCTGGGCGTTGGCTTCGAGGAGCGCAGCGAGGCGTTCGATTTCGGCGTCGCGCTGCAGGAGGCGCAGAAGAGCTTGGGTTTGCTGGACGCCAGCCACGCCAAGCAGGCTGCGGAGAACAGCAAGCGCGCCGAGGAGGAGAAGAATAAGGATTACAGTCTCAAGGAGGGCGAGACCATCACCATCAACTTTGGCGGGTCAAAGATTGGTCGCCGGGCGAGGACCGAGTCCGGGTCCGAGATCCCCGGCGGAGGAGCGGGAGGAGGGTTGCAGGGGTTCTCTCTTCCGCCGCCGCCGAGCGCGCCCAAGAGCAGCAGCGGTGGTGGTGCTGGTAGCTTCGGATTGCCGCCGCCGCCGAGCGCTGCCAATATCCGAGACAAGAAGAGGGAGAACAGGAAATCCGCTCAAGATCTGGGCTTCGACGACGGTCAGTTTGGAGAGTTTGCGTAAGGGATCGGCTGCCGCGGAGTGTCTCTCACGCAAGAGCTAGACGAATGAATGCTACGAGGTAGTTTCGTTTTCGCAGCTGGCAACGAAAGAAAGAACAAAAGGAACAAAAGCTCAGCCCCCTACAAGAGGAGGCTTACGGAAGATCCGAGCTACACCTCATGTGAAATAAGACTCAGATTTTTACAAGAGAAAGTCGGGACTCGAACCCGGGACCCATGGGAGCGGGGCAATTCAAACGAGGACATTCCCCGCCACGCCATGGGCCTTGGTGATTGTATCAAACAAATTTGTTTGTTATAGATGCATGGAGGCAGGTGGTTGGCGGTGAGTGAGTGAGCCTGGATGAGTTGGTGACGGTTGTGGTATATTCATGGCCAGGAATAAACACAAAAGTCCAAAAAGAGGCACGTTGAGGAGTTCGGAGGCGGCCCTTGTTTGATGGTTATAGGAAAAAAATTCCCTACCCTGCTTTACTGCAATTACCATATGTTTGCCTACTCCCTGAATGCAACCTGAGAACACCAAGAGCAAATACAGGCTGGGCTCGTCTACTTGCGCCTGTCTGTCGTGTAACCACTGGAGGTAGTCAGTTCTGGTAGATGTGCGATACTGGCTCGTTTGCCTTTTCGCCTGGTCTACGTAGCCCCTCAGCCCCTGACCAGAGGCTTTTCAACGAGGGTAGACTACTTCTTCTGCCCGACGTCGGAAGTTCAATCTCCTGGCTTGATTCCTGGTCTTGGCCTTCAATAACATCCTGTCGCAAGTCCCCCGCCCTCAACCAATAAACAAATTGTAAACCATGATTCCCCAAGTCTTTCGCAAGAACCTCAGGAGGTTGACCGAGATGAGCCCATGATTCAGCTGGTATTGTATCATACACCTCATACCAATGCTCTTCAAAGCGAGGCGCCGCCACGTCCCACGTGTTGTAGACGGGATGGCATCCCGCAGGAAAGAAGACCGGAGAGGCCACGTCCAGCGGCGTCGGCATCATCGATGTCACATCAGATGGTGTTGTAGCATAAGCGGAAGTACTGGGTGAATCGACGGACCACCATGCAGATCTTCGCTCGTAGAGTTCGTTTTGTATCTGCATCCAGATCTCGCGGCTTTGAAGCTCCACGTAGATATCGCCTAGCCGCAGGAGAATGGCCTTCTTTTGTGCTGTGGCATCGAGGATCTTGCTCTTGAGCAGAGCTATCTTCTTTCTCGCCTTGCGGCGCTCTTCAGGCGGCAACCCGCTGTCAACATTCTCCTGAAGGGTCGACAGCCTTCGCATGAGGTCGTTCTCGCGTTCGCCCTGTTTGCTCAATGAAGCCGTCAGATACGCATTTTCCGTGTATAAATGTTCGAAAGAAAGCGGTGATGCTACGGCCGACCACCTTGAATTCGGATTGGTGGTCGTGTTGACGCTGGGTCTTGGCGTCGGGCATCCGAGTCTCAGGGCGGGCCGGAGTGGTGATAGTACTGCCGGAGTATCAAGCATTCCTGATCCTCTGAGACATGACAGGTTCGGGTAGTTGGTCGAGGCCGAGTCATCGGACGATGTTGTAGAATCTTGATTTTTGATGTTGGAAGGAACAAAAACTGGAGCTTCGACATGCTGATCCATGGTGAGGGGCAAAGACAAACAACGGTACTCGTGTCAACGAGATTGTCTTTCGAAAGAAATAGTTGGCTCTGTTCGATTAGATATAGGCTATAACCAATGCGAGTCGACTCCCACTGTGTCCCGATCTGGCCAATTCGAGACAAAGGGTAGTTTAGGGGTTCAGAAGTATGAGGCCCCCTCACCGCGGCATTCCCATATCCGAGACCGAGAATTCTATTCGAACCTGATGAAATAAAGCTGCAGTGACCAAGGAAAATCTCGATTTAGCCTGGTACGTCTGAGAAATTGCAGGCATTTGGCAAACAAGATGGCGCAGTTGAAGCTCCGGTGCGAACAGTGCTTCCAAACAATATCTGAATTCGCAGCAGATGCGGCTTGGTAATGAAGTATGCATGGCAGACCTGCCCATCTACTTGTACTGGCAAATCAATATGGGCGATTTGACCTGTATGTTCATCAGCCCAATAGTTCTCAAACCCAGACTTGAAGTGAATGAACGGCTTAAGAGCCACTGAAACGCAATTGTGGATCTAGACATTAATATGAGGGCCAAACGATTATAGAGGGTACTATGCCAGCACTGATGCGATTGGGGGCGAAACAACCACGTCACTCACGTAGCTGTAGTTGTTGACGCCATCATCAAAACGGACGTGCTGTTGGTATAATCCAGACGAGCATCCCTGCTAGAGAGGTCTGGATCGCCGTACGTCTGCGGCCGTCATACCCGTGCAGGGGCATCCTACTTCTTTGAGAAGCAACTTCCAAGCCTTTCGTAAGAGCACCTACCATCGTTCCTTTCGACGCAAGGGATTTCTTTTTCAGATGTTGAAGCCGCCGTGCCGAGGAGGATCGCAGAACCGCCAAAGACCAGCCGCCTCCGCAGCCTTTCGGACCGAGGATACCTCGTCTCCCGATACGGCTCGGTTGATTTCGCTATAGCGGACCTCGTCGTCCCGGGTGTCGGTGCTCTTTTTGTTGCGTCTCTTGGACTTGCCGACGTGCGCGTCTGGGTGGTACTGCTCCATAATATTGACGAAGCAGTCTCTGGAAACTTCCTCTGCCAAGAACTGCATTATGCGATGTCCCTCTTGCTCCTTTCCGGGCATGACAAGATGGCGCACTAGGAGGCCGCTCTTGGCGATGCCATCTCCAGTAAAGCACAGGTCACCGACTTGATTGTGCATTGCTTTTATGCTCTCGCGAGCCGTGGCGGCATAGTCGTCTGCCTTGAGCAACCGCTTGGATGTCGCCGACTCCCATACCTTGAAGTCAGGTAAATAAATGTCTACCAAGCCATCAAGCAGCTCCAAGGACGCTAACGAATCAAAGCTGGAGGTATTGTAGATGATTGGCACTCGTAGGCCCAGCTCCTTCGCATGCAGTATGCTGAGGACAACCTGGGGAACAACATGTTCCGGGGTGATGAGGTTGATGTTGTGAACACGGCCGATTTGCTGTAGCTTGATGTACCATTCACCCAGCTCCTCGGGTGTCAAGTCTTGGCCGTTACGCTGATGTGCAATGTCATGATTCTGGCAGAATACGCAACGCATGTTGCAACCCGAGAAGAATACAGCGCCACTGCCATTGTGCCCTTGGACGCAAGGTTCTAGATCAGATCATGGTCAGTCCAAAAGCATTTCGCAGAACCTCTGAGAGGTCGGGAAAAGATGTTGGATGCGATGGAGAGGTTTGCTCCAGACCTTCACCAAAATGCGGAGCAATCACGTTGACCTTGGTGCTATTGCCAATCAGACACATTCCAGTTGTCTCGAAACGATTGACACCGCAAAGTCGCGGACAGAGGTTGCACTTGGAAAGATGGGCGTAGGCCTTTGATCGCTTTTTGGATTCATCGATGGAGGTCAAGGCCATGTAACGGGGCGTGTAATCGTCCAGGAGGAACGGGGGCGCAAGGTGTAGGTAGCGGCGAGCGCCCGCCGCGCTCCGGCGAAAGACATCGTGTCTCCGTGTGATGGTTCGTCTCAACATGCTCATTTTGCAAGTTTGGAGATAACAATCTGACGTGTAAGGTAAACAATGGAAACATTTCTTGCGTCACAGGACGATTGGAAGGAGGAGAGGTGACATTACTTCATGTGTCGTTCTATTGGCCCAAACGCCTGGAGGTGGGTCCTCTCCCGATCGTCCATCAGCCGACGGCGAAGGAGCTGTCCGTCCGCGCCGTGCTGCTGCTCCTTCCGTGTAACCTCCTCGCATATCGGTTTTCTCGCATGTTTCCTTCCAAGTTTGCCATCAATATGTTTGAGGATTATTTCAAGCAAATGGTCCAAACTCCTGCAAGACCTACAGACAATTCAAAGACCAATCCACGTTTCCGCATTGAGACAATGGTCGACTTGTCGACTCCGAGAGGCTCTAGCCGTGGCCGATGTTCATCTCTCAATTTGCCGCATGACAGAAGCTTGCATTCGCATCATGGTCTATGGTAACGCTCGAATGTCTGATACGGCTCCAAGTTTGATGAATCTGAGAATGGTATACATCCATCTTTTTATTTGAGAGAAGAAGAAGCACACCAGCGTTGAGACCGTGAGGGTAGTGCGAGTATGAGTATCAACACGTCTGTTCATAGGTTTGTCTTCGCTCATCATTTTAACGTGTAGTTTCGCCGACTCGTCTTGATTCTGAAGCTGGCGGTGCTGCAGGGATCTCTATTCAGCTCTACATCAGGCTCCGGCTTCCGTGATAATCAACATAACACCACCCGAGGGATGGCCCGACTAGCTGGGCACGATTTTGCTTTTGCAACGACCCACTGAGAGATCTTCCTCAGTATTGAAGTTGGATATACGAAGATGCCGAAGACTAAAAGTCATTTCAGCTTGAGTCTTGCGCATGAAACAGCGAATGATCACAGTCAGATATAGCAAACATCATCGACAAATTCGGAATGTCCAACAGGACAGCACGCCAAATACTTTGCCCCCCGTGAAAGCCGATGGCTTGTGACGATCGACGAATTACTTGCACGAGCTGAGTCAAATTCAGATGAAGGAGGGGCAGCTGTCGGAATAAGAAAGTTGAGTCTCTTAGCAAAACAGTCTTCCATGAGTATTTACGCTCTGAAGTAGGGCGAAGAAGAAGGACTTCCGAGCTAGAAGACTTGCAACGCGTTCTAGTGCGTTTTCAGACACATTGCTGTGGGTAAAGAGAACACCAAGAACACGAAGTCGTGAGTTGAGGTGGACTCCGCAACTCTCACTTACAACACGAGCTCATGCCACTTTTTGTCTCGCTGCACTGAGGTGCTCCAGATATCTGCGTGGAGTACTCGAAAAACCTCATCAAAATGGCAGAAGAAACGAGTCTGGCATTCGGGAATGGATATAATACTTGAAGGGATCGAGTTTTTTGGTGCCCAGTCATGCGCTGATAAGTCTTCAGTGACTCCACCCTTTCACTCTTTTCTCATTGTCAGTGTACATTTTCAAGACCGTCAAGACCGGGCGACTAAGCCTTGCATCCGTTCGTTTGACCCAGACGTTCACTCCGAAGACCTCTTTCTCACTCTCGTTAATCAGAAAGCTCTCTTACTTTCTCCGCCTGACCCAGTGTCAATAATTTCTACTTCATCATTCTTCTTTTTTCTGTGTTCATACACTTTGGGAGGGCATTTGTTTTTGGGCCCTGACGACGACAATTCTATTCTTAATATTACCTAGAGCGCGTTCCGACTTCAACCATAATGAAATCGACGTTGGCGTTGCTCGTATTCTTATCCTGGGTGTTGCTTCCCATTTCGAGCGCCTTACACATCACAGCTGAGACTATCGACAAGTTCCTCCTCGAAGAATATGACTACATCGTCGTCGGCGGTGGTCTCTCAGGCTTGGTCGTCGCCAACCGTCTGAGCGAGGACAAAAACAGTAAGTCCTTCTTCTTCCTCGTCATTTGAGCGCGCACGCTTTGACAAAGCTGACCATATGCCAGCGACTATCCTCGTGATCGAGTCTGGCGAGCTCGACGGACGTGAGAGCAGGGTTATCGCGCCCGGCTACATCGGCCTCACACCGCCCTCGCCATACGGCAAGAGCATCACGACGGCTCCTCAGACGTTTCTCGATGGCAAGACGCGCGGGATCAGCCAAGGCAGAGTCATTGGCGGCGGTTCCGTCACGAATGGCATGTGCTGGACCAGAGGCTCGGCCGCGGACTTTGATGCATGGGAGGAATTGGGGAACCGAGGATGGGGATGGAAAAGCCTTCTTCCCTACTTCAAGAAGGTGAGCTCGAGATATTTCTCACATAGCAATGGCATTGGGCGAATGAGAAGCCCAAAACTGAAGGGACATACAGGTTGAGACGTATACCACGAATGTTGATCAAAACGTCCAAGACCGCCTGAACATCCACCCAGATATGTCGGTTCATGGCACAGAGGGGCCTATTAACGTCGCCTACCCTGAGTACTTCTACAACTCGTCGGGTATGATCCCCCTACCGACCATTTTGTTTCAAAATCCTGACTTTTTTTTTTTACAGATCATGTCATTCACGGGCTGTCAGAGATGGGCATCCACCTCTCGGGCGACCTTAACGCGGGCGACCCGACGGGAGCTATGATGGTCCCGTCCAGCATGTCTCCTACCAACCAGACCCGTTCCGATGCGAGAACAGGCTACTTTGACCCGGCCATCTCGCGTTCGAACCTGCACGTCGTTACCGGGCAGACCGCGACGCGGCTCGTTGTGGGCTTGCCAGGCTCGCTGGCGAAGGAGGGAACCCGCCGTCGATTCATTGGGGTTGATGTAAGTCCACCATCCGTTTTCCTATGATGGCGTCTCAGAATTAGGGGGACTTATTCACTAATTGTCTGTAGTTCTCATCTGAACCCCTTGGCATCAACAGAACAGTCGCGACCAAAAGGGAAGTCATCCTGGCCGCCGGTGCGATTCAGTCGCCCACGCTTCTACAGGTTTCGGGCATTGGTCCACGCAAAATCTTGGAGTCTTTGGATATCTCTGTGCAGATCGACCTGCCAGGTATCGGAA